CCTCTCTAAAACGAGATCTTCGTCATTTGCCAGGATCAGCAGTGTTTCAGAGAACAAAGTCGAGAACAGTGTTGAACAGCAAGGATGAAACCACATCTCCCCGGATCCCGGATAACTCCACAGTTAAGATAGGGAATCATTCGGATAGCTCTCCTGACAGCAGACATGGTTCCACAAGAGAAACGATGTGCTCAGATGTTCAACAGCATGTCATGATTTTGCACATAGTCGGACGATAGACGTTTTATGATCATGAACGGTAGAGCAGTCCTTTACAATCGTTAGCAACTCAGGGCTAAAACGCTGTCAGTAATCAAAGAGGTTCACAATCATCGCAAACGGTTTGCTTTTGCTACGTTCGAAGCAACTCGGGGTACACATCACATTTCATAGTCACAAAATTAAATATCAAATTTAACTGTATTTCAAAATTTATTAGGAAATAAACCGATGCGATTTGAACCGCGAGTTCAGACTGCCAACTTCGCCCTTTGCCAAGCTGTCAACCCAGTGTTTCACTTGCCTCTGACAATACTTACGTCGCGTTTCCTTCGAGGGTAGTTTTCGCCACGTCATTGTAGTACAGACCAAACTCCTCGTACTCCGGTATCTGTTTTCGAACGCACAATTTGATCTGGTCGATAATCTTGTCGGCCGTGTAGTTGGAACACGACTCAACAGTTTCGGCGGCCTCGCGTTCACTGCGACTGATGTTCAGCGCCTCGTCGGTCACGGTTACTGAAGGCTGCTTGCAACCGTTGCTAAATTTTGGACACCATTACAAAGTATAACGCGACAATCAAGCAATCAATCAATCAAAGTTTACTAACTTGAGCATCAGCCTTGCTATCATTACACAGAAAATTCCCTGATGTTCGCAAATGCTAGCACAGATTAGTTCTTACAGGTACACTCCTACCAGATTTCAGGCACATTGGCTACATGTTCGCACGAAAGACTACGCAAGACAAGATTTAGAGGCGCAGTGTACTACTCCTTTGCTCCTAGATGCCTGGGTCAAGGGAGGAGGGGGCGGAAAATTCAGCAAGCAACGGTTCCATGGTATGCAGTTTCTTTGTTGATCGACGTTTGCATCACTGGCACAAGACAAAGCGTATGACGGCACTTGACAATTTGACAACGACAACGTAGTTGATCAATCAATCATCACACATGCGAAGACAACCACCTGTCGACATAATATCATCAATGTAGGTTGTCAGCAGTTATAATCGAGTACTATTCTCACGCCGCAGCGTGTTACAACATGAAGTAGGCAATGTACTAGATCAGCAGAACTGCGACTAG